CTCTTCAATGATGGCATTCTAATCTGAGGCTAACACTGGGGATAAAATTAAGACACTTGTATTTCTTGCTAAACAGTCTTGCTGATGGTGTACATAAATAGGTTGCTTTGATGTGGAGGATTTTTTCCAAAAAATAGCTGCATACTTAGAGGGTGTGTCAGCACTGGGAAGTGCAGGGGACACTTGCACCATGGACAACTTCAGCTTCTGTAGGGTTGTAGATGGAAGTGCCTCATGTGAAAATTGGACTTGTAACTCCTTGTCTTAGTTAAAGTTAACTTGAAATGTTTACATGTCCATGTCTCAAGACAGTGAATTTTTTTGAAATTTAAGATAAATGCAAGTAGCTGAGAATATGGTTATTTCACCCTTGTCACATAGACATGGTGTGTTTTTCTCAGTCACCAGGAAGTTGACTGTACTGTCTGTCAGACCTTTGGCATTTGTCCTAACTTTGACATTGTTTCAGGAACCTGTTAAGTGAATGTTTCAGCATCCCTCAGAGGCTCAAACTTGCCACATACGACCGTGCCTTTGCTCAGCTGTTTGGATTTTGCTGTTCAGCAGAGATGTCTGTATAGAGCTGCAGTGGAAGATGGAAGCACTGGAATGCATCTGACCATTAATACAGCATTTTATACAGGGTTGTGGGATTGTTAGGAGTTGCTTCCCAAAGGTAAATAGAACCAGTGAGAACTACTTGAAATCTGTTTTGAAAAATTGCTCATTCTTATGTAGGTATTCTCCAGTTGTTTAGCACCAGAGGATTGGATTATGTGAATTTATGTTTACAGGATAGAGCTCCTTGTCAGCTTGAGATCAGTAGATGAAGGAGCATTTGTTGGAGACAAACTGTTAGTACCTAGTAGAGATAATGTGGAAAAATAATCTTCTACCAGAATATCACCGAGATTTTTCAGACTTGACAGAATGAGTCCAGTGTTTCTTCTAGAGAAAACCGACAGCTAAAAACCAAGTTCTGCCTGACCCCCTGAATGGAATGACCTTTTGAAGATTGTTACTTGTTTTGTTTTAGATGTTTGTAATCCTCAGATTATATTTAAATTTTTAAAACATTTTATGTTTTTTAAGTTGGGTAGCTGATATGGGAAGAATCTTTCCCAATAAACACAACACCCTAGCACATGTAACATTAATTTCATGCAGAAGTTTTAAAAGAACAGTTTAATATAAATAACAGCTCAAAGGTAACTATTTAAATAGCATAGTCAGTGTACGGGTTTTTCTTTGTTTTGGATTTTTTTAAAGTAATAAACTCAGAGTAACTCTTTGTGAAAGAGATGGTGCAAGTTATGAGTTTACCTTGTTTGAAGAAAGTTATCTGGTTAGAAGCAGGGAAAGTTAGGAGATAACTTTCTGTTAGCTAAGGAAAAAATGATAAACTATCATTAAATATTCAGTGAATATTCAGAATTAGGAAGCATTATATAAAGCAAATGTGACAGGAAATTTTTTATTATAGTGAAAAATCTATTTAATGTCAAGTCCAGTAATTTGTTTAGACACACTTTAATCAGCTTTGATTTTCCTGTATTTAAAATTTTGGCACCATATGTTAAACTGTTCTACCCAATGCCATTGGTTATCTGGAAATGATAAATCTGCTCATTGATTTCCTAATTTTATTATGTACACAGCTAATTGTAATCCAAGATTACAGCAAACAAGATGTTAATTTCTAGAAAACCTGTGTACGTTTCCCTCAGAGTGTGATTGTTACAGAAGCAAAGAATACAAAGAGAATACCATTTGTGCTATCCTCACAGGAGCTGTCAATAAAAGATGTAATAGGGGATTTAGGAATCTGAAAATGGCCAACTAATTTATGTGAATCTATTTTATTTCGGCTAGAAAGACCAAGCTCTGTTTCGTCTGCACTGCATATTGCAGAGCACAGGCTGTCTATAGAAAACCAGGCGGCTGCATATGGATAGTCCCTTGATATCATTCACTTGCTGTGTAATCTTATTATGCAAAGTTCTAATCTTCACCTAGAATGAATGCCTCTGGGTCAGAATATAGTCATATCAGGGTTTTTGAGGTCATGTTTTGTGATCCTTAGCTTATTCTTCTAAGTAGGGCTGGGATTTAGAGAGTATTCCCCAGACACTAGCAGAGATAGACGGCAAAACCTGCTGCCTTTTTGGAAGACAAGACCAACATGAGGTCCCTGGTAGGATTAAACTTGATTTGTAGCTGTAGGATTTTTTAACAGATGTATTATTGGACAGGGAATAGGGGGCCACCAGCACAGCAAAATTGGATCACGATTGGCATTCTCAGGGAGTCCGCTGGCTGCTAAAACAGCAGCTGCATGTGGATTTGACTTCTTTCAGGTGAAGCGACTTCCAGTCATTTGGAAAGGATGGGATGAAAAGGAACCTTGGTGATAATTTTGATGTCTGCAAGATTTAGTACCAATGTAATGGGATTATCGGTAACACCTTCACTGCAGAAAAAGCCACCTGGCGCTATAACTGGCAGCAACTGAGAACTAATCCTTTCCCATCTCTTGGATGTCATTCATGAGGCTCAAAGTGATTTCCACCCTGCTAGCTGTGATTAATTTTATAAACAAACAAACAAAAAAAAATCAAATTATGAAGGCATAGGGTATGTAAGGAAGAGGCAACAGAAGATAATAGTAATTACATTTTGCATTTTATTTGCTGCAGGGGATAAACTATATGGTTCTTGTAAAATAACTGAATTGCATTCTATGTGATAAATATGGATGTGTAACCTTTTTTAATCAATGTCTGTGTTTGGTATAAAAACAACATCTATTTCAGTATAAAATTTTCAGAAACCTTCTACATGATAGGAGGTAGTACCTGGAAGTAATTACAATAGATTTTATGCCATTAGTTCTGCGATAAGGATGTTTGTACAACAGATCCATTAAGTTTTCAAGGAGTCTGTGACTTAAATCATTTGTTTTATTGTGCTTAATGGTCTTATGCTGTATCTGGTGGACTTGCCTGCTGACAGTATGTTGTATTAATTTTAATTGTGTGATGTGGAAAAACCTTCAGCCATTTACCTTCTTGTGATCAACAATATGGCATTGTTTTAAAACTGTACTGATAGGTAGATTTCTGAGGAAACAGTTATATTGTGCTGATTCTTAAGCTAGAGCAATTGTAAGATAAATATTCTGTGGGGGTTTTTTAATAAACTGGAGTTGGGGTTTTTTTGAAAGGACTTACTGGAACCATTCACTTATTAACTAGAAGTTACATAAAACTACATGGAAACTTCCAGGATTGTAGTTATTCTGTGGAATGAACATTAAATGTACAAAGATGGACCTTAAAATTGAAAACAAAGCCCCAATCCTCTGAAGTTATCTTGTTAGGTTCAAACTGTGTATAATCTAGGTGTATATACATGCCTTCATTTGAAATTAACTTTCTTGAGTAGTAATGAAAAGCCTTGTATGAGACCTAAGAATTTTTTTGTTATTATAATGAACATCTAATAAGCGTGAGCATTTAGAAAAATCCTTTGTGCCACATGTATGAACTGGGGCTGGTGAAATCCATGTCTTGGGGGTTAATTTATTTTAAGAGAACTGGGAAAAAAATTTGAGACCTCTTCATGCACGTTCTGTCCTCATGGTTAGTTTTATACCATGACAGCTCTAGTAGTAGTACAGCTCACTCTAAACCCTGTGTTTCCTTGAATAATTTACAAGTCTATCCCTCCTGATTCAGAGTTACTCAGAGACACCAGAGAAACAAATGTGTTCAGTGTAACTATTGGGAAGTATGTGTCATCTAGAGCCCAACAGGAGATCGGTTGCAATCAGTTTGAAACTTATTTTCAGAGACACATAGCAGTTGTTTGTAGTTTCATAATAAAAAAATATTTTTGTTATAGCCTGGTAGCTGTTGTTACCATTCTGTTTGGCACAGTCAACAATATTTACCTCCTCTGGTCCATGTAATGCCATGTTTATACAATTCCTTTTTTACCTATAATATCCACACGTGCCTGAATTCTGTACTGTCGTAACACATTAATGTAAGGTTTCTGAATAGCATGGATCTGAAATACAGGATGGTTTTGCAGTATTTTTCTGTCTGCCTCAACTGAGAAGCAATGTAGGCTGCCTTTCTAGCAGGTGCTGTTCAGTATTGATGATGGACTTACCTCAGAAGATGGTTGTGGTCATTAATTCGCACTAGTTGTGCAACTCACATTGATCTGCTGTCACTCCATCTGCCTTTTATCACCTGTAACACATTTCTGGGCTCACAGTGTTTCTGGCCCTGAGAGCAAGGAGTTGCTCCATGCTTTTCATTGTGTACTGGGTTGAGAAGAGCAAACCGCTTTTCCGGCTCTCCAGAATAAATTCTGCTGAAAGTGCATTTTGCTTACTGCGAAGCTGTTTCAGGTTCTACAGGGTGTCCTGCAATGTGCTGGGCACTGCACGTGCTAATGAAACAATTCAAGACTTTTCTGTTGTATTTTAGGTCATTACTGTGAAACGCGTTAGCTAATATTAAGGATGATTAATTGCAGATTGGTTCAAGTGGATTTATTCTGGAGATGTTTTATGTAAAAAAAACAAAACAACAACAATAAAAAACCCCACCAAAACCAAACCCAGTTCATCCTTTTTGGAACAAGGAAAGGAGCTTGCTAGACAACGTTTTCCCCCAAGAATGATCATCTTTGTTTTCTTTATAAATAAATGCTAAATAGCAAAACATCATGAAGTATAGAAAGGGAGATTTTATTATTAAGTAGGGCATATTATATACACAGTATTATTATTTCCTTTTTTTTTTTTTTTAAACTTACTGCATTTGTTTATCAAGCTGTAGTGACCCATGTTAGTAAATGAGGGAAATCTTGCTGTGGTTTTAGTTCATGATGAAGCTGATACTGGGGGACAGGTTTCTTGCAGAATGTAAAACTTGCTTCAGTTACTTTAGTACGATGGCAAATGAATGATATTCTTCTGTTTTACTGTAGACTAGAACCAGCTGAACGACGTAACACTGTACCATGCTTCGCAATGCCCTAGGAAAAACCTTTCGGTTTCTTGGGTATACTGTGCAATATGGCTGCATAGCGCATTGTGCCTTTGAGTACCTTGGAGGAATTGTTGTGGTAACTTTTCATTTTCATTACATTTTAAGTATACTGTGCAATATGGCTGCATAGCGCATTGTGCCTTTGAGTACCTTGGAGGAATTGTTGTGGTAAATTTCATTTTCATGACATTTAAAAGAAAATAAAACTATAATGCTGAAACTTTTATGTGTGATAATGCCAATGTTTCGGGTTTCTTCATGTTCTTTAAAGTTTTTTTCAAAGAGTGTTTAGTAAATGCCTGTTTTCCTGGAGGCAGGTCCAGCATTTATTAAAGTTATCTGTACTTCAGGCATTCGTATTTTTTGCTAAGTTATTGCTTGAGGCACTGCTGAAACAAATGGGAAACTATGATTAAGCATTTTGCAGATAGTACGTTCTTCCAGAAAGACTGGAGTCACTAGTAATGCTATAGGAAATACTGTTTCCAAGTCTGGGCAGATTTCTGGATGTTTTATGCTCCCTCTCCCTCCTCCCCAGGCTCTAAATCCAGCAGATGCTGCTGGTGGACGTAGTGGAGTTTGGCTGTGAGCTGCTCTTGCAGCTTCTGTGATGATTCTCTTCTACAGAGGCTGAAGAAAGGGGTAAACTGGCAGAGCTTTGAGTGCTGCTTCTAATAATTTCCTGCAGATTAGGTGCTGAAATGAATCTGTAGGGGCTTGTAGCACCTAGTGCGGTTCAAGACCAATCCTGAGCAAATCCGGAGCTGTAACAGTGGAGTTTGGCTGTGAGCTGCTCTTGCAGCTTCTGTGATGATTCTCTTCTACAGAGGCTGAAGAAAGGGGTAAACTGGCAGAGCTTTGAGTGCTGCTTCTAATAATTTCCTGCAGATTAGGTGCTGAAATGAATCTGTAGGGGCTTGTAGCACCTAGTGCAGTTCAAGACCAATCCTGAGTAAATCCAGAGCTATAACAGAGTTAGAGACACTCTGGAGGCTGCTCTCATTTTTTAAATGTATTAGGCGTTCCTCCGAGGAGCTCACTTTTTCAGTTGTTCTTTACATGATATCTTTTCAAATTCATTAGCAAATCACTCTGGAGGCTGCTCTCATTTTTTAAATACAGTAGGCGTTCCTCCGAGGATCTCATTTTTTCAGTTGTTCTTTACATGACATCTTTTCAAATTCATTAGCAAATAATTTGAATATTAATGCATTTTAGATAAAAGTAATTGGAAATAGTAATTTTTTTTCTCATTTATTTTTAATTTGCAGTGTTCTGGACCTTCAATGGAACCAACCATTCAAAATTCTGATATTGTCTTTTCGGAGAACCTTAGCCGCCACTTTTATTGCATTCGAAAGTATGCTCCTTTGTTTAGACTAGATTTTGCATTCTGTTTGCCAGAGCTTGTCAATTACCACATTCTGTCCTTTATTTTGCATATGTTCTTCTGCTTTTAAATTGTAATTTTTCATAAACTGCCTCTCATGGTGTCTGATAGAAGTCAAAGTACTAGCACATGCAGCCCATCAAACACCTTGTCAGAATTCGTTTAGGCTATAGTCTATCTCACTTTTTACAGCTTTGTCCAAAAAATGGAAAAATACCCATTTTTTTTTCCTAAAACAGTTCTATTGGGTGAATATAATTCCTTTTTAAGCAGCTTTGTCTTGCTTGAAAACCAAGCTGTAGGTATTGCTGTGCTCAGATAGGTTTTTAGGAAAGTGACCAAATGGTATAAGTACCAATTATCAAATGTCATTTTTTTACTGTGTTGTAGAGCACAGTAGGCTCAAGGCCGTCGCCCATTTTGTTGTGGACTGTTTAGCTGTGTAATCTAATGTATAGAATCCAGAGGCAAAAGTAATATAAGGTTTTACAACCTCAGATTAGACATTTGAAGTTCCATTGGAAGAATAACATTTGGTCAATAACATTTAGGAACATGGAATCTATTCTGTTCCATATTTATGCAGCAACAGGGTCAAGTTAAGTGCTGTTAACTTCATCAGAGCATTGTCGATTAAAATGTAGTCTTAATGTTTCATAAATGATCTAAATAACAAGGAATCTTTACAAATGTACTATAAAAACTGTGTAGAATTATACCCTGGGTAAAGCTGAAGAAACCAAAATTGTAGACAATTTTCAGCAGAAAGAAGTGTCTTTAATGTACCTGAATATTTTTGGAGTATACACATTGATGCACATGTATGCATACACGTATGATGCACATGACAAATAGTTTGTACTTAAAGTTCTTGTTTTTGTTTCTGTTTTTTCCTCTCAGAGGAGATATTGTAATTGCGAAAAGCCCAAATGACCCCAAATCAAATATCTGTAAAAGAGTAATTGGCTTGGAAGGGGATAAAGTCTGCACAAGCAACCCTTCAGATTTCCTTAAGAGTCACAGCTATGTAAGTATTAGAGTTTCTTCCTTTGTAAATTGATCATTATTTAAGTAGGCCTGGTAGTCTGTAAAGAATTTGTAATATTTGAGTATCATAATAAATCATGAAGTGTGATGTTCTTCTTTGTCTTGTATACATACAGTAGAATGTTGTAATTTGTAAACTCTGTTTATGGCAAGCTGTCTTTCTCAGTGTCTTTTGTCTCTGTAGGAAGTGTGGGCAGACGATGTTTTTGCTCTGCCCTTTGCTTAGGTCTTCTTCCCTGGAAGAGTCATCTCAAATTCTCTGCATAAAGTGCAGTACAGATAGCAGAGTCAAGGGTTTGGTCTTAAGGCAAAACTGTTCCTGTATTGTAAACACTAAGAAGTGAAAATATTGTCTCTGCAAAAGCTTTGAGGATTTTGCTTTCAAAAATATATTTTAGGCCAGAAAGCTAGGGTGCGATTCGTACCCTGTTGTGAGAGGTTGAAGTTTCTTCCACTCCAGTGTTGAGGCAAGACATTTCAGGCACCTGCCTCTAACCTGCATTTCTGATCAAGCACCAGTACCACTGGAGCTCCTGTTTACACTTCTGTCATCCATGGAAAGAAAGAAGGAACTCGTTCTCTGTTACGCTTTGAAGGGGAGGACAGAGCATTTAGTTTTTCCATAAATCTATGTGTTACCATTTAACCAAGGAAAAAAGTAAAAAAAAACAAACCCAAAGAACCACAACCCACCTTTCTTACCATGTTGAAGAAATTTTCTAGCTTCTGTGGGAGTAGCAATGTAGATGAAATATGAATTTCCCAGAGCAGAATGCCCTGAAGTGGAAACCCAAATTCTGTGAACGCTGACAGAAGATGCAAACGGAGTTTCCAACTGAGATGTTCCTCACTTGTCTTAGTCTTGAAAAGGAAGTTCAGGAAAGATTTGTACTTAACAGGATGTCAGCCTTTCTGGAAACCCTGAGGTAATCAAATGAATACCCAGCAGAATAATTTCTACCCCAGGTGCAAGATTTCTTGTCTTTAATTTTAATGCAAAATGTAAGGAGGATGAGAGGATCATATGTGTATGTTTTTCATAAAGGCTAATGTGCAGAAAGACAGCAAAGTGACGTGCAAGCTTTCTTAGTCCTTACATCACAACTTGTAGCTAGGGGGAGAAATGATCTAAATGGAAATGCTTTCGTTTGCTAGTGCACATCTGTTTTCCTCCTATTTTTAGTGGTTGTTGAAGAGGTAGATCTTTCCATCTGTTCAGGACAACACTTCCTTTACAGAAGAGTCTATTTTCAACATAGATATCTGCACTTTACACTCATAATTAACACTGGATTATTCACTAAGTAAATTGTTCTTGTTGGGGAGGGAAAAAGTGATCCATGTCTTTGTGTAACTGTCTAATCAGATTCCTTATTTTAGTGAATCACTCTGCTATGCATTTTTAATTCAAACACAAAATTCTTTAAAGCAAATAGCAGCAGCACATGTACAAAGAACTGACGTTTTGTTGCTACTCCCTTGAGAAGAATTAACCTGAGTTGGGTTTTTGAAAAAAAGATTGTTAAAACTGAGAAGGGGCCAAAGTGCTGCCTGGGGTGTCTGGCTGCCAGACAGGCACAATTGCAGGCACTCCTTAGGTGAGCAAAGCCCAGGAATTGTCATGACTTTTGTTGTTTATATTAGGCTACTAACTGCTTGGTTGTGGTGTTTAGTGTGTGGGTTTTTTTTTTTTTTTGGTTTTTTTTTTTTTAATGAGAACTCTCTGAGTGATACATGAATGCAGTAACTCCAAAGTGTGTAGAGTCAGAGGAGTCATTGTTTTTGCTACAGGGAACTGCTCAGCTTTCCTTGACTAAGTTGTCCCCTGTTGGGGAGTGATAGTGAATAGTTACTGTCATGTTTGCAAAATTATTACCGTACAGTAAATACAAAGTATCAGATGCCAGAAATATTACCTAATTAGGTAGTTTGAACCTCTGCTTCATTCTTTGCTGGTGTTTGCTAGCTGATGTTCGGAGTTAGCCAGTTACTGGAGATGTCAGAATAACCGCAGTACGACATACTGAACCCTGCTGAGAGTGAAACCACCTCTAAGCAGCTGCTGTGTCACCCCAAAAGGAGAGTCCTTGCAGTCATGTTAGTAGGCATTGTGCTTATTCTGCGTTGACTGGGTCAATGTTAGTGTTGGCATATTTCACAGATTTTAAGTTAGGGATTTTTGTGCTTAGAAGCACTATCATGCATGATTCTTATTCTGAAGCCTAGGGGAATGCTAAAATCAGATCCTGCTTCCAATCCTGTTTCATTCATGAATATACTTCTCAGAATGGCTTATGTATATAGATAGGAGAATGGAAAACCCTGTTTACAGTTCGCTCTCTGTAAAATTACACAGATGAGATACTTTATTGCTGCAGACAACCAAGTGGATACCTGTAGATTAAAAGAAAAACAAACCAACCTTCCAAGCTATAATAAAAAAGAAAAATAAAAAAATCATAAGTTGAATAAGTTGTTCTGAAGAAAGGTATTTCGGTTGAGTAGAAATGCAGTGTAGCAGTGGCAGTTATGTGGAAGTCTTTATAGTGGTATAAAAACACTTCTGGTGCTATACTTACCTGAAGTATTACACATATGAGGAAAAAATATTTTTGTCAGTGTGTACTAAGTGTAAGGCTGTACCAAAAAAACTGTCTTTGATGGAGTCATTGTTGGATTACAAGCTGATGGAACTAATCCCACATATCAAATTGATTGGTATAACTTAAGCACGTGCTTAAATTGTAATTTAAGTACATTAGGAATCTCTTTAGACCCTTTATGATACATGATGCTTCATATGCTAGAGATTGGAGTTTATATGCAGAACAATAATGAGGGGAATCTTCCTATTTACATGAAAAGGATAATGAAATTTCTGAGTAAGATGCTATAGTATTACAAGGTTAGGAAATTGTAAATTTTCATTGCCTTTTTGTTGATATTTGGTATGGAATATGAGCATTAGGCATAATTACTGTATCAGAAACAATGTGGTATGAACCCAAAAGTTAAAAAGGTTGACAAGTAATTTTTAATAATGTGGTATTCAGACCTAGTTTCAATTATTAAAATAGATCTTTATGGATTTATTAGTTTAGCTATAAGATCTAAATAATAAGGGTTAATAAGGAAATTACTCAATCCCAGTAAACCCCTGAAATGGTCTTTAAAAAAAACACCTGTAAGGTTAATTTTCATATTTAGGTTTTTATTTCCACTTTTTAAAAGTCTTAATACAGATCCAGGTTTGTAACTGAGATTGAGTATCCTATTGGTATATTTGAATTTGTTTTAATGCCATTTACTTTAGCTTTAATTTCTTCAGTACCATATGTTCTTGTGCTGCAGCTCCTTTTTACAGACTGAAAATGTGAGGGGTAAATCATCAGATTAAAACAGCTTGTATGTCATAAACCACCAATATGCTAAGCCTTTGTGTCACTTAAACAAAAGTAGTACCTAATAATGTCACTTAATACAGCTAGAGTCTGTAAATAAGGAACTGCCTTTTGCAAGTCATAGTGATAAAAAGCTGAGATACACATCCATATCTCAGCAACACTCTGCTGGTAATCAATCACAACACACTACTAATGCTGTGAGACTCGCTGATGTGGGGGAAGTATGTTTACCTTGTGCTAAAAGGAGGTTCATTGCGGAGATGGCATCTCTTCATCCTGTGGTTAACTCCAGAGCTAACATAATTCCAAAGATAATGCATCTTACTGTGTTTGCAGATCAGGGAAGTGGTCCACACAGCGCTATTAACTCTTAAACAGTCCTTGTCAAATGCAGTAAGAATATTATGTGGGTACTTAGAATAACGTGATGTTAATGTAAACATCACAATATCTTAATCACTAGACAGTACTACAGATTTTGGATGCACAATGTAAGACACTGAAGAGTGGCTTGATATTTCAAAGCACTCAGTACCATTGGATAGTCTCTTTAAAATATCCTAGATAGCAATTAAAAATAAAGTTCTCAAACACTAGTTATTTTTCCTTTGTCCTTAGTATCTTACTCAGTAGTTTACACTCATAGTTTAGTATTTCAGTAATCCAAGTTTTAATAGTTGCCATCAGAGAGAAGAAATATCCTAGTCTTTCTTCTTGTTCTTACTTCTAGTATTCTAGAGGCTTCAAAGAAAGTTATTTCATAATTTTAAGCAGCAGGTATGCTAAAGGTCTTGTGGGAAAGGAGAAGTGATTTGGCTTATCTGTTCTGTTTGCAGATTTGTTCAGTTTGCATATCCCTCTGTATCCTGGTACAGAGAGTTCATCACTAGAGCTCATCTTGAATCTTCTGAGAAGTAATTTTAAATCAAAAACTCTGATTTGTCAAAACTAAATTATTCAAGGGAAAGAAACACATAATTTTATCAATCTACTTCCCAATATTTCCTTCTGCTCGAGTGGATTGGTCTTTCTACCTTTACAGTTTTGCTTTTGATATTTCAAGAACATATGAGTGGCATGACTTGACACAGCAGCACTGGTACTGTTCACCATAGCTTATCCTCCGAGACATTCCCTTGGTTCTTCTGTTCAGCCAATTAATTCCTGAAGGAAAACCATAAAGAAAGCTCCTCACTGATCTGAGGATCATTCATTTCTGAATTTATAGCACCAGATGCTTTTCTGCTGTGGAATACAGTCTTGGCTGTACTGGTCAGATCAGTTTGAACCTTCAGGATCTTATGATTCTCTTTTTCCTCTGCTCCAAGTTCAGTGATAAGTCCTTGGAAGCTGCTCAGGATGATGAAAGCAACTACTCGAGGACTCACTGAAGGTTTTGAGCACAAGTTTTAGTCTGCGTATATCAGCTTCATGTCTGAATGAAGGACCTATTTCATTTTTTTCCCCTGCTATATGTCCTAGCTTGGGCCTTCTGGCTGTCTTAAGTGATGAGATCCTGCAGAGCTGAGGCCTGGGATTGATTAGCAGTGATTCAGGTCACTGCTGATGGTGCTGG